ATTTTAACCCAAAACTGGAACCGAAGGAGAAGTTCCTTTTTTGACAGTGGAAAAGAAAGTAACAGGGGACAGATAGCGTCTCAAACTCCGCAAATAATTTTAATCAATCAACCTCCTTATACACAAAACTACAACCGCAACCAAACCACCGAAAATCCTGTTTTTCAAGGTCGCGCGCAGAACACTCACCCACGTTATAAAACGAACTAAGTGATGGCTGGTACAAAACACAACCACCTTTCGGTTTAGACAAAAAACCTAAACAGCTAGAGGTCACAAAAAAGTACAATGCTTTTGAACTGCGACATCAACACAGTGATACGTTTGGTTGGTTTGGGGGAATCACAGTGTGTGTGTGGTGCAGGAGCCCCGGGTAAGTCGAAGGAAGCACGCATGTCTCGTTAATATGGGCCCCGTTAATATTGATGCCCCCCTATGAGGACGCCACTTTCGTGGACAGACTGGGAAAATACATGCATTTTTGTTTCGTTATTATGGACAACTTACATTATGGACCATTTTTGTTTTACGGGAACGGAGGTGTCCATAATAACGAGACATCACTGTATCGTCCCTTTGGTCCCTGATTTTCTTGTGGGCGCAGCCATTTTTTTTTCCTGGAAAGACTGCGTTATTGGCGATAGCTAGCCTTCGAAACTCCGGATCCCTCGGCTTGGAACATGGTGTCAGGAAGTTTAAGTAATGCCGTTTCGCTTGGCGCGTCAGACTGGTTTAACACTTCCGGGGGACCGGACAGCGTTTTCCGCGATTTCGCCTAAAAGATTTTTTTTTCTTTTTTAACTGGCAACAATGATTCGTAGTACCGAGAGGGTAGAAGTGCCGTTACGCTGACCCGTATAGCTTCGCTCGTGACTCCAGGCCCAGTATATACACCAACGCGCTGCTTCCAAACAAGTCCGCTTCGGGTGCGCAGAAACCAGAATCCAGTGAAGTGAACCGTCGCGTGCGCTGTTCCGACACAGCGCCACACCAGGGGTGAGCCGTCAGAGACGCGTGTTGGTGGCATGCGGACCTCAGATCTTTTTGCTACACTGTTAGCAAGTGCCGTGTATTTGGTGAATATTTGGGGTGAAAAACACGCTATTTACACAAATTACCATAAATTTACACGATGAGTAACGGATAATACGTTCAGATATCATGCGAGGTTGTAAAAAACGTGTTTTGGTTCGGTCATACACGCATAACCGTGTAGCCGACCTCGATAACACGCATCGCCTCCGGCGACTACCGCGGCATTGCAGGCTATCGAAGCACCGGAATGCTTGGGGACACACTTAGAAAGGACCGTCGAGACAAATGCCGCCGAAAGAAACATGTCTCGGAAACAGATATGCACCAAAAGCAATTACGCCATGTCGCGGGACGTTGGCGAAACCCGCGCTTACCGTGGCTCGCCGCCATTTTCTGGTCGATGGCAATGCGGCTTCCCTCATGTCGCCCATGTTTGCATTTAGTTTAGGGCTCTTGATAATAGTTTCTTACACACCACAAATAAAGTCATGGGTCCAATTATTCGTTCCAAACAGTTAAAATGGATATAAAAAGCGTGTCCTCGATGTGAACACGTGACATTGCAGTTGGTTTCGTTTTTGCTTCAACCTTCAACTGCAAGCGATCTGGCCACGGCGCAAGTGCAACGCCGATGTACGCTGGAAGCAAGCGCCGGTTGGCTTTCGTTCTTTTTGTTTGACTGGAGAAATTTCTGGCAGTCGCTATTGTTTTGGTTTGACGGGACGCGAGAAGCTTCGCATAGAGCTTCGCAGTTTGCGAGCACATAGTGAAGACGTGACCGGAGAAGTGCCCCTGTGACGTTCCCGGAAGACGGAAAGTACCATTCGTCGTGTGTGCTTTGAAAGCGAGGGGAGTCACGGGTCCACGAGTGCGCAACCACAAGCCAAGGTTCACGACAGCGCTGCGTTCTTCGGCGATCTCGTTCTCTTTGGGGCAACACGGCGATGCGAGAAAGGGCCGAAACGTTCGTGGTGTGTGGTGCGGTGCTTGTAGGTAGAAACCCGCACTAACGCGGAGCTCATATTGGTTGTTGTGGGGTTGCGTTTGGCGGGTTTAGCCCCGTCGTCGTCAGCTGATCCGGTCCAGCTGGTCGGGGAGGACGCAGCGAGCGTTCTTAAAAGTAAATCTTCCTTCGTTCCGTTTCAAAATGTGGAAGATTCCCGACGCATACCGTGAGTAAAATGCTGCGGCCGTTTTCAACAAAATTACGTCGTTTTAATCGAACAAGGGACTTCGGATAGTTTCCCTAAATCTGCCGTTTCTATGCTTCGTGTCGTTAGACTGCATTTGCACAGCGACGTGTTCGCACAGCGACGCACACCGCTCGAGTAGATGATTCGGTCCCGCAAACGACCGGTTATACAGAATTTCAGGGAAACTTAAGACACCACCGATGTTTTCCTGTAAATCTCGTGTGACTCGTGTGAGTTTGTTGCGCTCATCATGCGGTGTGAATAAACTATAGGGCAAGATTTTCTACCTGCCCACAGATCCATGAACTGAGACCAATTTTTTACGTAGAGAACATAGTGGTTTTCCTTTACATTGGGAAAAGGCCCGAATATGTCTCTTTTCCCTCTGGCACTGCCCCAAGTTTCAAGTTGCAGTTTCAGTAGACATACCTACTAACAGGTACAAACTGCTCTAAAGCAGGTAAAAGACTGGAAAGTCAGGACGGTGCGGACACCATGTTTTGCGCTTCTCGCAAGGTGACTGACGCTTTTGCGAGGTATGCGGAATATGCAAACGATTTTGTTATGCCCTTTGTTTGCGTCTCCAGAAAAAAGAATAAGATTATTTACAAATTTAGGCGCAATCACAAGCCAAGATTTACGATAACAGTGCGTTCGCTTCGGTGGTCCGTGTAGTGGTATTATACGCTGCTTTCTGCAACACCGCGTCATGACGAAGAGCTGGAACGGTCACGGTCTGTGCTGGGCTAGCGGTTGACAGAAACCCGCATCGCCCGCATCGGCACCGAGTGCACTTGGGCTGTTGATGCTCGAGCCTTTCATACGCGGCTTGTCGCCAGCTGATCCTGCTGCTCGACGGTGAGGAAGCGGCGAGTGTGACCTCTGAAGTAAATGTAAATCCTCGTTCATCCAGTTATCCAGTGTCAAAGTGTGGAAGATGTCCAACGTGTACTGAGGGCGGGAACTACGAGCGTTTTGCCTTGCTTTTATAACCGAAACCAGAGCAGCGAGATAATTGCCTTGCGTACTCCAAAATGACGCAAGCAATATGTTTCAACAGGTCGAGTACGTCACCGCGGATGTAGGCGAGACTGTGCACTGTTTAAACGCTTGCAGTATCCACGAGTGCTACCAGAAAAACGACGTCAACAGAGAAGGAGCTCGCGATTTTAGCATAATGCAGTGCCACGGGCTCGTGAATTTTCAATGTAGCTACATAAAAATATTAAAAAAAAAAACAAAAAAAAAACGCATCAGCGCCACATTAATGATCACGAATAACACCGGTCACAAACTCCCAAGCCTCACCGCTTCGCTCGACACCAACACGACAGACGACAACAATCTGCATCAAAACGCCCCAAAAGTGAAGGCGTCTGCTCCCGTACGCGTACTACAACTAGCGGAAGTGAAGTGTTGGGCGGATGTCCTTCACAATAATATATATAAAAAATGCCTTGCGCAAGTATAATTTCCATTGATTATTGAATACGTACTGATAAAATCCCAATCATTTGTTTTTCTATCTGATTCAAGCGAGTCGGACTGCTCATAACACTGGTCGACCATGAAAATAACAAAAATTTGAACTTTTTCATGGCCGGTTTAAGATTTATTGTTAGTACATCGTTGTTTTTCGCAAAGGACTAATTTTACAGATTTTGCCTCCATACTTTTTAAATGCAAACAGTTCTTACATACTGCTGTCCATTGTGCCGTGTTCTGTGTCTTCTTCTATAAATCGGTAACGGTCAGCGACCAAAGAGCTCACCCGTACATGTCAAGCATATATACGCCGCGGGGAGAGTCCGTTGTTAGTGTTGTTAGTGTTAGGAAGTGTCGGGCGTAGTGTCGGTGTTGTGTTTGTGTATGTGTCGCTGCTGTGTCCTACGTGGTGCTCGTCTTGTCTGTGAGGTATGTAGAGTAGCAGTCTACTCGTGATAGTTCCCAGCGTATTAACCCACTCCTGCTTTTTTTTTCATTGGTTGCTAGAAATCGCACTAGGTGGCGCAAGTTACCGCCCGATTACAAGAGTTTGCTTGAGCTATTTATCCATGTAAATTCAATATTCGTTTTTTTTTTTTTTTTTTTTTTTTTTTTGGCTAGCGGTTTTGTCGTAGCTGCCGACACCACCGACCGCCGACGATGCACGTACGTACAGAGCGCGACACTGTTAGCGCGAACAAGCGATCGCCGGTTTTTCCAGTTTCTCTCTTTGTAACCAAGGGATGTCATCCAAGTTATTATTGCTACGGAAAGAGCTCATTTAGTTCTATAATGTAAGCGATAAAATTTCGTGCGCAATAATACTATTTAAAAGTAAAATGCGAAAATGCGCCGACGTCGTGTTCGCGCTAACAGTGTCGCGATGTGTACCTTTGCACGTAGCTACGTCCGCCGCTCGGAGACTGTTTACTGTGCATAAAAGACATCGAACGAGAACGAACGCGTCCTGTATGCTTTCAGTTTGGCTGAAAGGCGCGGCTGGCTGGGCTCGTCCCTCGCCTGTTCTCGGCTGCTGGCCGCCATGTTTCACAAGGAACACGTTGAACCGTGCTTCTCGGAAGGCAAACACGGTATAGCGTGTTAACTTTACACAGCACCTCATGTGTAGACGAAAAACACAGATGGCTCCGTGTAAAACGAACACGTTTCGACGTGTCCGCTATGGTTCAACGGTTTACACGTCTGGGCGTGTTATTTTTGCTAACAGGGTAGAACATTGCCATGGCACAGGTCACCCAAAAGGAAGGGGGGTTGTTGTGAACTTACGTCGAATATGAGCTTATTCAATGTCTTCCGCCGGAACGGGTGAGCTGCCGGCTTCGCCGATACAGTAAGGGGGGTCACATACGTAGCCAGTGAGGCAGCAGTGCTGATTGTCCGAGCAACAGACTGCATTCTTCAGGGGACAGCAGCCGGCATTGCACTGCGTTTCGGTGCCAGGGCATGCTCCGCCACCGGGGCGAAGTTGGCTCAGGGCTGTCGGGACAAGTTTTATTTCAGTATCAGCCACGTATCTTGGCTGCTGATACTAGACGCTGTTTGCTATATTGAACAAATTAAAAAATATCGCCTAAAACAGATATTAATGCCATGAACACTTGGGCATCGCAGTTCTTTGGGACAAAAATGTGCTTTTCGCCTGCGCATTTAGTGCCTTAAAATGCCCGAAGAAGCCAAGGTAGAACCAAAAGTGACCTTTTCGGCCCAGTCTGGGTTTTGCTCAGAATCGCCTATCAGAAGCCAGAGTTAGTTCTGGTTGTTGCAAAACGTGGGTCAAGTGAGGCGTTTGTTTCTCTAGCTTACTGCTTATGTATGCGAAAGCACATGGTGGGGTTTCCAATGAACAGCGTTTTTATATAAGAATGCTATGCAATGTGACATGCGGCGAAGAGATTTGGAATGTATGGGGTGTTTGTGAGAGATCCGAACCCGGCTTTTCGCACCGCAAAAGAAACTGGACACCGCGGAGAGCTCGAACTCCGTCAGAACGTAGCCCCAACCTTTCGAGCAAGATGCCAAGGTTTCAGCACCAACCGTGATCTTACTCAGAAGTTATAAGTGATTTTTCTTTTAATTTTAATGGTAAAATGGGGCCCACTTTTGCCCGTTTTCGGTTACGGGGGCCATAGAGCTCCATGTATACGAGAGCTCCGTGGCGCTCGGTGGGAAACGCTGCGAGTCACGCTGGGGGCGAGGCTGGCGAAGGTTAGGTGGCGCTGCGTGTATCAACTAGTGATGACGTTTGGGGTGGAAAAGGTCTTGTCTTCTAGGTTGTATTGGTTAACACCCTCCCTCCCGATCATGGCGCTACACCATTATACACCGTTTCACGATAACTTGGCGAACTGTGGAAGCTGCGGCTTCCGCGGTCCAATAAGAGCGCCGGAGCAAGGCACGTCATAACACTCCATGGTCGAGGCCACGGGGGCCTCGTTACCGCCACGGCCATAGCGCCGTCCGCGACGAAAAGTAGTTCTAGGCTTCTTTTTTTTTAAACAGCAATGGAACTCGCGCGATTCCATCTCTAACTAAAAGATACGAAGAATAAAGAATAAACAATCACAAATTAATGTGTTTTAATTATACTTGAAGCAAAAAAGTGACGCCACATCTGTATCCACTCTCGATTTTTTTTTTCTACTTGTTGCGCCGTGGCCGTTGCTGACCGCAGCCGTGCAATCGGCCGTTTCCACTCAAAACATCGCATTGCGCCCTGGCATTAGCACCTGACACCAATTCGCGGCTAAATTGAGCGTATGGTTGTCTCATGAACTGTTCCCGAAGTGCTCGCTATTCTAGCGGACGGAAATGTTGCTGCTGTGGACGTTCATCCGAAGTTAGTTGGTTTCGGAGCAGGCGACTCTTGGCTAGCAGACGACAGGCGGTTCCTCCGGGCCACGCGCCTCGCATTTGGTGTAGTGACACACATTCTCCCCTTTCGTCTAGTCACGTGCATCTCTCTAACGTTCTCATTGGACCGCAGAGCCGTAGCCTCCACAGTTTGAAAAGTTATCATGAAACAGAGTATTGTCACGCACGCTATGACGTTTGGGTGTGATTAAAACAAAAAAAAGGGGGGGATGTCTTAGTTGGAATGGTTTGTATACACCACTGACACCCTTTTCAAATGTAGATCTTAATAATTTTGAAAACACGTTCTGCGCTGACACCAGGGAGTTCGAGCAGATAGTTTCTATGCCTCCGATAACGATACCTGATAGCGATGCGAGGCATACTCAAAGAGTATCGTTATCAGAGGTATTGAAACGACATACTAAAATTCTTTATTGCCCTTCGCTGCTCAAGGTTCGGTATTAGTGGAGCTGTCAAAGTGCGACCTGAGATACGTATTGGGAATCTAAACTCGGCGTACGGCGTTTCTAGTTTTTAAAGAGATATCATGTGGCACGTACCGATAATGGCAAAGAGCACACCAGCTATAACTCTCCTCGGTGTCATGATCTGCAACATATGAAATATTTATGAGGTTGTGTCGAGCGACAATAGATTAACCTCAAGATATCTTACCACGTGCTCGCCTGGCGATAAAGCGAGTCCCGAAAGGGAGATAAAATACATAGGTGAAATATTTTTCTTCGTAGTATAAAACCTGTCTGCGTAACTTTTTTTTTGTATTCCTTCATTTGTTAGGTTAACAAAGGTGTCTGCTTAGAACTTCACATTTTGGTTAAAAAAATAGGCAAGAGTTAAAAAAAAACACTGCTCCTCGTGCAGAAAAAAAAAATTAGCTCTAGCAATAATTTAATTTCAGAAGGACGAGAGTTCCTCGACAGTTTTCCTGGCGTTTCAACAAAAACAACACCAAACAGCGACGAATCATTAAATGACTCTCCGGCCTCCATTGAGCTGTCGACAGTTCAAGGGTATGTGGAGGATCTTACCGTCGCTCCCCAGCGAACGAGATATTGCTTAATAAGGAGGCTGAAGCAAAGATGCCTGAGAAGTAAGGCACGCCCTGCATTTATTGAGCTGTCAGTGACAACGGCCGCCTGGGTATTGCTATGCCCCTGTCATTTGAGTGAGTGAAAGTACCAACTTACTTTGGAAGATTTCGATTAAGTGCCTGCACAATATTTACCCCAGAAGACGCTCTTCTCGTCAGCTGGTAGCATGCAGTCGGGGCTCCGACCCTTTATAGTCTGTAGCAGCTTTACAACAGCAGGACAGCTCCCTGCTCGCCATGATTGGTGGTTTCCCCCTCCGCACTCTCCTTCTCTGCAAGGTTCGCTCTGCGAACCGTTCAATGCGATTCGAAAGGAAGAGGGTTTTGTCGGAGCATCTGTTCCGCTATTGCTATAGCCTGCTACAGACTACAGCTCTCGTGGTTTTCAAAGCGAGCAATCAAACAAAAACGCGGTGATAAAAACTAAAGTGTAGGCATGACGAGAAAAATACGTTGATGAAATGCCTTTCCTACCTTGTGAAATCTATGAAAGTGGAATCTAACCATTAATTTTATTACTTTTTTATTTCTGCCTTTGATGATTCGTTGAGGTCTCAGAGGGTCCCACTAGCACGTGTATTGGACTGAAGCAGCCTCAGGAACAGCAGCATTCTTTTTTTTTTTTTTTAGTAAACTGAGATTTTTAATTTTGAAGATTTCAACGTACCTCAACAGGTACAGCCACATAACCGGTAAAGTAAGAGAAATCCTTGTTCACCGATGGTAGTAATTTTAACAAAAAATAAAAAAAATACGACTGTTCAACGGTTGCTTTAAGAACGCAGTGTGAGACGGTTTTAACGTCGGAAACGTTTGCAGTTTGGACGCTATATATTGCCTGTCTTGGCAAGAAGAGAAAACACGCCACCTTGCCTTAATATCCCAATTTTACTTTGTATTTCCAAAGGAAAAAAACAGACTATTTCTCGATCGGCGGCTGTCATCGCGGTCCTGGAAACCACAATCTGACGTCATCAAGGGGTAGCTTAGTGAGCAGTGGAATGTTTTACTCAGTTGATGAATACGTTTTAAAGTATCTTTTAGTTTAATATTAAATGTGTTGAAAGCTTGTTACTATTGCCACCCAACACTTACTAAATTTCTATGGGCCTATTCACCCCAAATAAACAAGACCATCTCTCCTCTACTATCGGCCACTACCGGCGATGCTGGCCGGGTGCGGTGTGCTGTTGTGACCGAACCGTAGCTTGAAAAGTCAAGAATCGCAGAAAGCGTTGAAGACAAAACTCAATCGCAAACTTGATGTACCCTTAATGACGGCACGATGCAGGTGACGCGAGAGAGAAGGTATAAGAGTTCGGAATACCACAAAGATTATTGTGTTTCATTTTTTTTACCCAAAAACGTAACGCGCCAAAACAAAAATAGTTTCTTTCTTTAATGCTAGAAGTGAGAGACACTATTCCGCCCATACGCTAAAATATTTTACACGCTTTGGGGTGTAAAAACGCTGTTCCAGTGACTTTCCACCATTACTAAACCCTTTCAGTACCGTTACTGCACCATAATACGCCCTTTTCGATCATAGAATAGGGTTATGTTGCATTTAACACCCTTTATCTTAAACGGTGTAAAAAAAAAAGGTTGCAAGAAGATATATGGTGAGGCGAACAACACTTTCGCCGCAATGACATCCGTTTTAGCGAGGTTGTTTTAGTGACGATCTCGACTAACGCAAGCCTCTACCAATGCTCTTTACTGAAGAAACATTTCTGAACTTAGATATATTATGCATTAAGCGAAATGTTGACGAAAACAAAAAAACCGAAGAAAAAACAAAGGCAACTCTGAATGTGTGTCTTTGAATAGTTGAGTATATATAAGGGGGTGAACCAGTCAGCAGGGTAATGGCTCCGCTTTCGTGCGTGATCTATTACGCCCGTACTTGCTGTTTCTGTGCGTGTGTGAGGACTGTATGTGGGGTTTGTTCTTTGCAAACTTGTTGCCCGCAAGAATATCCCTAGGATGCTGCTAACATCGCAAGCTATCCTCCCTATTCGTAGGGCGTACGCAAGCACCCTAACACTGTTCCGAAGACTTACACCAATGTTGTTTTGGTGTTAAACCAACACACGTAGTGTGTTACATCAATAGCCTAAGGGTGTTATGTATTTAGTGTGCAAATCCGAAAATCAACGCAGTGCCTTTCCAAACAGCCTTACGACTGACCCCGGGAATTAACAGGAGGGGTGTCATGAAGAGGTGCGTTGATTGGTTTGTTTCGTTATATTTGGCTTTTCGTTGAACCCTAATACGAATCCCCAAACCCCTGGTGCGCCGTACAATTAACGTGTAGAGTGCAAAGCCCTATCGAAAAATCTAATTGGTATGAGAAATTTCTGTGTCCAATAAACACATATGAATGATACAAGATATGTATGAACCATATGAGAATAGTACAGTATAAAAACCAGGGATGGGCAGTATTTCAAATACAAGTATTTGAAATACGTATTTCAAATGCTTTGTGTATTCTGCATTTGTATTTATTTACAAATTGGGTAATGTATTTGACGTCTGTATTTAAATACTAAAACGTGGGTATTTCAAATACAATTGTAATTAAATACAATTTTGTGGGCGAAAATACATCCCTCAAATTTATTGTCACTGTCCAGAGCAGTAAGAAAACTGCGTTCTGCACCGAATGCAGTCTCTCTCAATCAAGCACAAGCGTTTAGTGACTTTGTGATTACGGTGCTAGTCCAGGGCAAGAATAGTGACGAAATCGACGTTCACAGGCAGACTGGCTAAATAAGTGCCTGTGACAACTTCTAATGCTTTCCAGCCTGATTTCCATCCATATTTTTGGATGGAAACCTCAAAAGTTCACCAATTAACTTCGGTACATCAAGTCGCCTCGCCCTGTGTTCCACTATCTGCTACCACCCCCCTCCGAAAGCAGGCAAGTTCCCGATTCGGAAAGCAGTTGAAGAGTTGCGGCGGGGGCAACTCAAATTGCTCGAATCAGACAAGACCAGTGTTTTCGTGGTCGAATCAAAGAACCTATGAAGAGAAGGTCACGAATGCACTGGAAAAGAACTTTGATCAACTAAAGAAGAGGCCATCTGGATCTCTGCGCGCAGAGGCAAAAAGACTGTCGCACTTTGATGAATCTGCCCGCTCTCAAGAAAACACTCGGTTCACCTGCAAAACAGTATTTTTCCGTATTTTTCACAGCCAAGACGCATAAGGAAGGCGTGCCGCTCAGAAGCATCGTATCTGAAAGAGGCTGCTGGCAGAAACCCTTGGCCTTATTTCTACAAAAACATCTCTCCACGGTGACGCTCCTCCTGCGCTTTAGAATTTCAAACTCCACAGATCTTATCTCGCACCTTTCCCCCCTACACTCCACCACCCAGCCACTCTCCATGTTTTCTTTAGACATAGAAGAGCTTTACTACAGCCTAGACCCCCGTATTCTCTTGAATTCCGTGTCTGGATCCATGAACATGGTCTCTGTATGTTTCAAAATACCTCAGGGATCACAGTTAAGGATTTCACAGATCTCCTTGCCTTATACCTTCAGCCAACTCTCGTTGAATACAACGGCAACATATTAAGACAAAAGAATGGTGTTTGTATAGGCTCCTGCCTAGCCCCAATACTCAGTCAAGTCTTTCTCATGTACGTAGACCGATCAATTAAGTCCCGACTGGATGTTTTCGCCCCCGAATACCGAGTGTTTCGATACGTAGATGACTATCTTGTTATTCATCCGACCTCCATCTCCTCACGGGCCATTTGTGAAGCGTTCGATTCCTGCTCGTCGGGTCTTAGGTTTACAAGTGAAGAACCAACAGAAGACGGACTCCAGTATCTGGATTTAAGGCTTTATCTTCATCCACAAGGCATATGCTGGAGTTTCCAGCAACGTTAAAAAAAAAAAAAATATGAAAGCCGTTTACAATTCCCTGTAACGCCGGTTAGAGCGCAGCTCTTGAGGAGGAAGATGGATGCGTACTGAGGGATAGGTGACTCCTTGAGGTCACGTGACCAGGGGGTCACGTGACCTCAGGGGTCACGTGACCTCAGGGGGTCACGTGACCTCGCGGTTACGCCGACGGCGACGGCGACGCCGACGCCGACGCCGCTCAAGCCGGAAACGGGCCCCTAATGGCGCGTTCACACTGGAAGCGGATCCGCGTTCGCGAAGCGGATCCGCGCGTTCTCAACCGCAAAGCGGCTAGGATCGAGCGGTTGGAGCGGGTTTTGACCAACCGCTTCGGGACCGATTTCTCCCAACCGCTTTCACGAACCGCAAAGCGGCAACCAACCACAACGCGACGCTGACGTGACGTCAGTGACTTTCGAAACAAGATGGCACCTGTCGCTGGAGAGGCGTCCAAGGCGCTGTAGTCCTAGCTTTCGACAAATGAACGGAGAAACTTGATGTTCACGTCCGTCATTTGAATGCGCCGCGAAAAGAATTGACTCGTAATTTTAACGGGCTTCGCACCGGTGATTTGGTTCGGGTAAGAGTTTGTTCATTATTCCGAGTGCCACAGCCCAAGCTCGCTGCCTTGTTAATCTCTGCCAGTAGAACGTCGGAACCCGCCCCTGATCGACCGAAATGTCAGCCTTTCTACCCACTAAGATAGTCGCGTGAACTATTGAAAGCTTTCGACATCGTGCATGACCACCACGAAGACCGATAGAGACGTCGTGAACTCGATTGCGTAGCCAACGCACTACCGCGGAGGGGGCAGGGTACCTGCGCTAGCTCGACCTGTAGTGTTTACTACTAAATAAATAAAGGGAACGTACTCAAGGAATAAATAAAATAAATAAAGGGAACGTACTCAAGAAATAAAGTGTACGTACCAGACAATGCAGAGGTAATCCATACGGCGTTTATTTGAGCTTAATGTCAAACAAACCCTAGACTCGATCGACGAGCAAGTGACGAGAGAAGAGTCCGCCACCAACGAAGCCCCGACCGGCTAGCACCGAACACATTTCCCCGCACCACGGTCCACCCCACCGCTCACAACTTCGAAAATGATAAGAGCGAACAACAAGTTCAAAAACGAGGGGGGAAAACTCGCCCTCTATCCCGAAAACAAGGTCAGCTATTCATGCGGGAAGAGTCCACTTCGAAGAAAAGATCGGGGGCATCCTGTTTTGAGTCAGCAAGGCGCGCCTA